CTGCTCAGTCCTTGCTGTTTCAGGGCTGACATCTCTGGATTCTAGCTCCAGTGTTTCATAGGCCAAGTTCACATCCTGTCTCCTGAAGCAATGCATAAATGGGCTTTGTTCCTTAACCCTTGCCAAAAGTGTGTGTACATCGTTTTTATGCATTAGTAATTCATCCTCTTCCTACTTCTATGTTGCAAAATGTACAGTGGAAAGTTTCTCTTCAGTGCTGCCAGAGCCTTGGTGAGGATGTCTGGGTATGCCATCTGTAGCAGCAAATTTCAACTTGTATGTGTTTATTGAAGTGAATCTAGGAACACTTCCCCTCTGCAGCTTCCCTCAGCACCTCAACTATTGACTTACAGGAGCCCACGCTACAACCTATGCCCGTAATTGTAGTTCCTTTAAGAAAAAAATTTGTTATTTTTATCTTAGTTTGATTCTTTTAGATTGTTAGAGTTTGTAGGTACCCGCTGAGGAAGTATTTATATTTAGCTGGTTCAGTCGATAATTAGAAAAATATGACAAGGGAACAGCAGGACTTGGATCCGATTCCAGGTCTAGTTAGTATCTTCACTACCTCCCATTTTTCTGCAGGCAACCTGGTGTAAAGACACTGTACATTTTTAAGATTATAGGCTTTAAAACTAGCCTAACAGGATTCATATCACTTATTTTCCTTTCACTAGTTAGTCACATTATTTAACCTATTGTGCCTTGATTCCCTTACCTGTGAAATGGGGACAGTACTAGAACCTCATAGGTTGTGCGAGTTTTAAATGGATGAACACGTTCTTGCTGGTTTGAACCACTTGTGGTACATGCATCACTGCGCCACTGGATGGCTTGAACCACCTGTAGTTAACTAATACCCGATGATGGTATTTAAATCAGAGCCACCCAGTAGCAAGACAGGAATTGTGATTCTGTCATGAATATGTTAATGAGTCTAGTACACTTTGAGTAGTACCTGGTACATGGTAAGCATCCTAAGAATGCTATGTGCTGTTGTTATGGTAATCCGTTCTGGTTTATATAGAGAATGTCCTTCCAAACCTCATGAGCTCAGAGGTGGAGCTTTTAGAAGGTAATTGGATTGTGGGGGCATTATTCTTTCAGATTAATCTACGAATGAGTTTGTGCAGGATGTGTTATCAGGGGATGGGGCCTGACAGGAAGAGGTGGTTCACTGAGCATCTTACCTGAAAGGTGGTCTCGCTGCCTGGCTCCCTCCTTCTGTCTGCTTCCTAGCTACTATGAAATGAGCAGGGTCTTTCCTGCCATGCCCTTCTATCATATCCTTTTTTTCTTGGAGCTTGCTGACCATGGACTGAAACCATTCTAACAACCAAAACAAACCTTTCCTTGAAAGTTGTGGGTGTCAGATGTTTTTGTTGTTTTAGTTTTTTAAGACAGGGCCTTTGTTGTTGTGTAGGTTGGCCTTGAACTCACTATGTAGCTCAGGCTGGCATGGAAATAGTGGCAATCCTCCAGACTCAGCCTCCTGAATGCTGGGATTACGGACTTGTTCCACCTTGCTTGCATATGGATGTCAGGTAACTGTCTCTCATTGATGAGAAAGTGACTTAAGACATTTCTGTGACAGTACTTGATTGTAGTTTAGAAGTCTTTGAACCTCTGTTCTTGGAGTTGGAAAGGTTTGGAGCTGCTGACTAGAAAAGCCGTATAGTGTTATAAGTTGACCTTGATGGGAGACAATTGTTGGAGTTCAAAAGACCAGAGTGCTGGTAAAATGCACATAGTTAAGGGCAAACTCGGGAGTGTACAGATTCAAGAATTTTTTTTTTTTGTATTGGTACTGGGAATCGAACTCAGGAGCTTGCACTTGCTAGGTAGGCTCTGTCCTGCTGAATTATATCCCCAGTCCTCTTAGGAGGTTTCAGTTAAAAATAAGAATTCCGTTGACAGTGGGGTAAGATCTATGTGTATTACACTGTAGCAGAAAATATGTCCACATTTTGCTCATGTGTTGAGACTTTGCAGGAGACTGAGATAAGGGTGACACACTAATGTGGCAGAGAAAATTTTAAGGTGATGAGGCTGTGATGTAGGTTCTGTTGGTAACTTGGCCACATCTACCATGAGAACAGGACCAAAAAGCAGAGCTAAATATTTTAAAACACTTTTCTGGTGGCCAAACAGTGAGAACCTGTAAACTTGACTGAGGAGAGCTTGATTGAGTTAAAAAGATTTAAAAAAAAAAAAAAAAAAGTGTGTCAGTACAATAAAAAGATGGCTTATGGATCTCTCAGAAATTGGTAAGACCTTACCCTCCATGGCTCAAAGATATAAAAGTAAAAGATTTGCTTTTGCTTTAAAAAGAGAGCTCTTAGGGCACCCTTCTCAAAAAGGGCTGCCTAAAAAATTGATCTCCTGAAATCCATTTCTTAGTGTTCAACCATCCAGGTCCTTGAAAGCTTCTGTAGCTATGATTTAAGCGCAGCTAGCCACTGCTTGCTTGAGCAGATGGCACCTTGGGTTAGTCGCATGGGTGTTGGTTTTATAGACATCCAAAATTTGTGGGTTTGATGAGGCATCCACCCAGATTTTTTAAAAAAATAAAGATCATGAAGAACTGGTGATAATGCTGCTGAGAGGGCAGCACATAAACTTGTGATTGTAAAGTCAGAAGTACAGTAGAGACCTCCAAAACATGGAAAAGCCAGAAAGGTGGAAAAGCCATCTTACCGTCTGAGAAAAGCCAGCTCAAGACAGAGGCAGTGAGGCTGTGACTGCAGGCCTCAGGCAGGACTGCGCAGACCTGTGGAGCCCCTAGTGGCCAGACCTTGGCCTGCGGCTGAACGCAGAGCTGCAAGATGTAGTGTTGCTGTGTGGGGTTGCAGTCTTGCTGTGATCTGATCCTGTGTCTTCTCTGTGCCTCCCTTTTAGTTTATTGTGTCCCAATGTATGTCAATGGTATTTAACCTCCTTTTTTTAATTTTAATTTTTTTTGGTACTGGGTGTGCTAGGTAGGCGCTTATGCCCCTGAGCTATATCCCCAGCCTGGTAATATTTAACTTTCTTTTCAGTTTTTTTCCCCCATTCCCCTACCAACCCTTTTCATTTTTCTTTCCTTTTTTTTTTTTTTTTTGATACAGTATTTCACTGTGTATTTCATACTGTCCTTGAATCTTCACTTTTTATAGGAGTTTACAAGCTTAAAGCTTGTGTTAAGTCTCAGGCAAAACTTTAGACCTAGACTTTTTAACAATGCTAAAAACTGTTAGGCCTTTGATAACTCTTAAAGAGACTAAATAAAAACACACATGAGTATTTGAGGGGCTAGGGACAAAATGTTGTGATTTATGTGAAAAATTCCCCTCCCCACCAAAGTTTCAGGTGCTTAGGGACAGGACATTTATTTATTTATTTATTTAGTTTTTAGAGACAGGGTTTCACTGTAATTCACGGTGGCCGTGAACTCACTATGTAGTGTAGGCTAACCTTGAACTCACAGTGATCCTTCTGCCTCAGCCTTTTGGAGTGCTAGGATTGTAGATCTGCATACCTACACCTGGCAGAGAGAGGGCTTTTAAAGGGTGGTTAGATAATGAAATTGCTATGCTCACTGATGGATTAGTCAACTGATGAGTTGCTAGCTAAATATGATGTTACAGGTGGGGCTTGGTTGAAGGAGGTGGCTCACTGGGAGTGTGACCTTCAAGGGCATCTCTCCTTCCCCAGCTCCTTTCTCTGCTTCCTGGTTGCCATGGTATAAACAGCTTTCTTCAAGGACAGGCCCTTCCTTTATGCCATTTCTCCCTTAGGCCCTTAATGCATCAAATGTGGTTAGAGCAGTACTGGGTATGTGGTAAGCACTTGAAGAGTGTTAGCCACTGTTGTTGCTATGGTAGTTTCCTGTTACCCAGGGTTTTGCTTTTCACATTTGTATTGTGATCAGCCACAATCTGACAATATTAAACAGAAAATTCCAGAAATAAGTCATAACTTTTAAATAATTTTTGTTAAAATATAATAATTGTATAACTTGTTAACTTGTTACTGTGCCTAATTTATTATACTATTTATCATATGTATATATATGTTATATATAATACTATTATATATTAATAACCAATATACATAAGGTTCATTACATTCGGTAGTTTCAGGCCCTCACTGGGGATATTGGAAGAGTAGCCCTTTGTGGATGAAGGGGGACTTCTTTGTCATTATCTTTCTCTGTAGGCCTTTGTATCGAGTATAGATAGACATCATTACTTCTTTTTTTTTTCTTTTTGGTCCTTTGTGAGGCTGGGTTTCACTATATGGTTTGGGCTGCCTCGAACTCACTTTGTAGCCAGACTGGCCTCAAACTCACAATGATCCTCCTGTTTCAACCTCCTGAGTCCTGGTATTATAGGCATGTGCCACTGCTCCTGGCTTTTTGTTTTTTGCTTTTTTGAGACAGTATCTTGCTATTTATTATGTAGTCCAGGCTGACCTTGAACTTTTTAAACTTGCTGTAATCTTGCCCTTGGCCTCCTGAGTGCAGGGATTACAAGTATATGGTACCATGTTCAGCTGTTTTTTTAAAATCTTTTTTAAAAATTCTTTTTTTTTTTTTTTGTCTTTTTCCTTTATATCGAACTCATGACTGCCTGCTTGCAAGGCAGATGCTTATGCTGCTGAGCTAAATCCCCAGTCCCCAAAATTCTTATTTTTGATCTGTCAGTGAAGTGGTTAAATGTGTAAAATATTAAACATTTAAACATCAGAAATAGTTGGGATTTTTCTTTGTTTTTTTTTTTTTTTCTTTTGAGGGGTACCAGGAATTGAACCCAGGATCTTACACTTGTCAGACAGGCACTATTCCACTGAGCTAAATCCTGGCCCCGAAAGCTAGTTTTTTGCCTCTGGCATAATCTGCCTCTTTGTACAGTGGTTATGTTTCATATCTTGACTTCTGTAGTTAAGTGCTTTTAGTATGATGTGGAATGTGTCTGTTGATTTAAATGTGTTATTTGATTGTGTACTTTTTTTTTCTACAGCAATACAAGTTTTTGCGCTTTAGGAGATCTTTGCTCTTAATAGTTAAACATAGTTGCATGGAATCACTGTTCCTGGTTAGAAATTTCTGCATCGTGTATTATTTTCTTGGTAAGAATTTCCACTTTTGGGAGGGAGAGGAGGGGAAGGGGATGTAGAAAGGTCTGAGATATATAATGCACATGTGCCAAATCCCCAGGATGAATGTAGTCATTATGTGTTGCACACATGAACTAATGAAAATTTAAACATTTTGCTGCCTTTTAGTGTATTATATTATCAGCCCAGAAATCAGAAATTTCAGGTACAGTCATTTGTGATTGTGTTTGTCATAGCTATGTGATTAGACCAGTTGATATATTATTTAAGTTGTCAAAGAGTACTCATTTAGTTAATGGAAGCACTGTTAAAGAAATGTGATGATACATGTAATGAGGGGCCGGGATGGAGGTCAGGAGTCACTTGCTGCTTGGCATGTGTGAGGCGCTGGGGTGAAGGAGGAACTCCTAGTATACATAATTATATATTGTGAAACCTTTTAAAGAAAGGAAATTTTGTCTCGTGCTGTAAGTGGGCAAGTCTTGAGGGCATTGTGCTAACTGAAATAACCCAATCACAAAAGTAAAAATACTGCATGAGTCCACTTACGTGTGGTATCTAAAGTGGTCACATTCCAGATAGAGTGGTGGTTACTGGGGCTGAGAACATGTGGAAGGAGAGGAATTGTTCAGTCATGCAAAATGGAAAATCTGGAAATCTGTTGCACAACAGTGTGAAGCTGGTTAACATTACTGCACACTTAAAACTGGTGAACAAACCAGGTGTGGTTGCTCACACCTGTAATCCTAGCACTTGGGAGGCTGAGGCAGGAGAATCAACTGCAAGTTTGAGGCCTGCCTAAGGTACAAAGTAAGTTCAAAGCCCTCCTGAACTGCATAATGAAACTCTGTCTCAAAAAGACAAAAAACAGGGCCAAGGGTTTAGCTTAGCAGCGTAAGTGCGATTGTGAGTTCGATCCCTGGCACCATAAATAAAAAATAAATGACAAAAACCAAAACAATAAAAAATTATTCTTTAAAAAAAATACTGTGTGCTGTTTGGCCATTTATAAATGTATAATTTGATACTAATATAGTAGAAATATCCTATTCATAAAGGAACTTTGTAGTATTAACATGAATTTTAGGCACAAAAAGCTCAACCTCCTGTTCAGCAGCATGAATAGTACAAGTTGAAAACATTAATATCATTAATACATAAAACAAATAATCCAACATTTAAAACTGCTGTTTTCAGACTAGAACTTTTTCTGATCCTACTTTTTCCATAGGTATTATAAATAATTCCCACTATGTATTACTCATCCACTTGTTGATTTTTGTACTTGCAGTTATGGAGTCCATTTTTCTGCATAGCTCTTAATGTCATTTTGATAGTAATGCATTACTGAAATGTGTGTCAGAACAGCTGGCCTGGCTCTTGCCCAAGAGCGGTATGTTTGGGCTGATGTAATGTCAGCATTCCTATAGCCAGATCACTCTTCTGTAACTCTTTTTAGATATAGTTCTTAGCATTGTTGCTTTGCTTTACTGTGGGTTGATCTTTGGAGGACAATTTCCTTTTCTCTGTTCATTTTATGGTATGTCATGTATTTATCATGGGAGACTGGAGGCAGCAGACTGACACGCTTGTCTGGGTCTGTACTGCTGAGCCTGATCAGCTGATGGACTGGTGGCAGATTCTGGAACATATTTGTATCTGCACACTGACTTATGTGCCAGAAATGTAGAGGCACTCTTAAGTGGTCAGTCACCCTGATAACTGAAATTTCAGTTGTTGGATACTGATTTTTTTTTTTTTAACTAAATCATATTAGTTGCAGTTGAACAAAGCAAAGGCTGTCTATGCAGGAATTATTGTTTTCCTACTCTTTCTAATCAACAGTGTAGTATTTTAACTGAAGTCTTGGTGTCTACTTTGACCTCAGTCTAAAGCATGATTAAAATATGTTTTTGTTTTTGTTTTGTTTTTTGTCTTTTTCATTTTTATTGGTACTGGGGATCGAATTCACGACTACCTGCTTGCAAGGCAGGCGCTTATGCCACTGAGCTAAATCCCCAGCCCCAAAATATGTTTTATTAGCTTTTCATGCTCATGATTTGAAAATCTTTCTCTTTAGGTTATATTCCCAAAGCTTGGATTAGCACTGCTATGGACCTTCACACAGATGAGTAAGTGATAGTTAAAAAATTCAATTTTAACTGTGTTACTGTCCTATTAAATATTTGCTATTTTTAGATGTTTTGTTTAACCTTTAAATCTGTTTTTAAAAATTGAAATAAGAAAGCTAGAGAGGGGGTAGTCAGTGTGAGGAGAGGGTGCCTGCCTCTCCCCTGTTGTCTGTAGCCTAGAAGAGCTCTGTGACTTCTGCCGTGAGGTGTCCTGGGAATAGGTCTGCTTCGACTTCTTCATCCAGCCCTTCCTGAAATATATTTCTTCACATGTCCTATGTAGCTCCTGAAGGTGAAAGCTATAATCAATTGCTTCATTTGCTTTAACTATGTTTCCCTAACAATACTTGAAGGTGATCATTTTAGTACTTACTTGAAAATTTAACTATTTAAGTTTTTCTGAGAGAAAAAAATGTTAGATTTATTTTGAATATTCAGTTTCGATAGTATAAAATCCTAAAGATTGTATAAAAACTCCTTTTGTCCCTGTCTTCAGTCATGCAGTGATTCTCTCCAGGACTGTGCAATGATGATCTGTCAGTTCTGTAGTAGATACAAGTGGGCTTTTCAAAATGCATGAATTGTGTATCTTTCATTTTTCTCTTCAGTAACCCTTTAGTCTGTGTGGTGCTGTTTTGTTTTTGTAGTACTAGGGCTTGAATGCACAGCCTTGACTCTGAGCGATAACTCCAGCCCCCTTTTGGAAACAGGGCCTGGCTCAGTTTCCCACGCTGGGCTCAGGTTTGCATTTCTTCTGCCTCCATTTCCCAAAACGTTGGGATTATAGGCATGTGCCACCATTCCTGGCTCATTATGTGATATCAGTGTCCGTGATAGTATTCTGATTTTGCCTATGAGATAACCAAATTGAGCCAGGTGGCAAGCTTGTACCCCATTGCTCTCCGGCAATACTAGGATTACCAGTGTTGTTACCCAACATGTTTTGCACGTAGTAAAGGTTTGATCTGTATTTACCTGATAAATGCCAGTTTCTTGCAGTGTTCTTTTAATGATTGGTTTTTCTACCATGAGACTTTGTGTCACATATGAAATTCACTCATACCAGTTTTAGGGAGTGGAATTCTGGCATGTATGAATATATTTAAGAGGTATTAGGGCAATTTACTATATGAGATAAATAAAAAAATATGGTGAATGTTTAAATTATGTGTTATACTAAGGGGCACATTGCTACCAACCCCTCTCCTAATGTGCCCCCTTGCTTTGAACATGCTTATCTCATCATTCTTTTTTTTTTTTTTTTTTTTTTTTTTGGTGTCAAGGACTGAACTCAAGACCTTGCATTTGCCAGGCAGGTGCTGTGCTGCTGAGCTAAATCACTAGCTCCAAATATAATCTTTATTGTACCACATGATGCTTCTTTTTCTTTTTTTTTTTTTTTTTGGGTACTGGGGATTGAACTCACGACCTCACACTTGCCAAACAGGTGCTTATAACTGCTGAGCTAAACCCCAGGTCCTGTCTCATCATTCTTGTCACTTTCTGAAGCACTTTTGGAAGTCTTTGGTTGAGTATCTCTACAAGCTGTGGTGGAGCATACAATGAATGCTGCTGCGGATTCATCCCAGGGAAAAGACAGGCCGTGTCCTCATTCACTTCCTCTCTGGATCTGGTCTCATGGGGCCTCTGGCTCTGACGTTTCCCCAAAATCAAAATAACTGTGAAAGGTCAACATTTTGAATTGATTCAAGACTTTGAAGCAGCCCTCACAGTGGAACTGAAGGCATCCATGAAAGAGGACTTCCAGAACTGCTTCAGAAAGTGACAAGAATGATGGGATGAATGTGTTTGAAGTGAGGCAATTAGCGCCAATGTGTTTTTTACAGTAATTTTTAAAAATTTAAATATTTACTGTGTAGCTTGTGAATTTCAGTTCCCATGCCTTTTGGTTTTGTTTTAGAGACTGTCTAGCTCTGTAATTTGGGCTGACTTTGAGCTCACTTTATACAGTAGGGGTTTATACTATGATTATATGAATGAGGAAAATGAAGATAGAATCAGTGGGGTTATTTACCTAATAATAACAACTATTAATCAGATTCATAGCCTGGCTTTCACAATTGCTGGATGTATGATTGTAGAACTTGACTAGGCTAATTGATCTAGTCAAGGTTTTGGTAAGATGTCACAACTTCTAGTTTCATTTAGCATCTGACAATTTCTTTTTTTTTCTTTTTTGACAATTTCTTAAATTGTTTAAAATTAAGGCCATTATATTAATAGCATTTGTTTTTAACCACTATTGAACTGTTTATCAGGTAGTATATAGATAAAGCTGAAATCTGGTAGGACATGTCCTGGTCATGTTGAATGGTTTTTTGTTTGTTTGTATCTGTATGTTTTTGTCTTTTTGAGACAGGATTTCACTATGCAGTTCAGCCTGGCCTTGAACTCCTTTTGTAGCACAGGCTGGCCTTGAACTCACAGCAGTTCTCCTGCCTCAGCATCCCAAGTGCTGGGATTACCGGCATGTATCTCCACGCTAGGCCTTTTTAGCTTTTTTGAGCCAGAATCTTGCTATGTTGTTCAGATTGGCCTCGAACTTACTATGTAGCCCAGGCTGGCCTCAGTCTCAGGGCAGTCATCTTGCTTCAGCTTCCCAGGTGCTGAAATGATAGGCATGTGCCACCATGCCTGGCATGTTTCATAGTTTTTAAGTATTAAACTACAAAGCAACAATAATAAGCTTTCACCCAGCCTAAGTAGTTAGCCTTTCAGGCTAGGCTTATTCTTTCTCCTCAGTAAATGACAGAGATTTGGAACAGAAGAAACTGTAAAGCCTGGGTAAGCCTACATTTCCTCTTGATCTTTCTTGTGTACCTAGGAAAGTGTTAGAGAAAGATCTTCATAATGGCACAAGAGGAGAAGAATCTAACATAATCATTTAGAAATAGGATTTTTCCACGTGGAGTCCCAAGATTATTAAATGCTTAGATTGCATTTTCTCCATGAGATTAAACAGTGTTTTCTATTTTCACAGGCAGTTTCATAGACCCCTAGACACAATAAGTGGCCTCTTGAATCTTTCATTACTCTACCATGTGTGGCTCTGTGGTGTCTTCCTCCTGATGACTTGGTACATCTCATGGATACTCTTCAAAATCTATTCCACAGAGGTGAGCATTGACTGTTTTTGTTAATACTTCTGTGTTTTGGAGTACACATATTTAGTTTTAATAGAGCACTGATCAGCATGCTATTTCCAAAGCCATTTCAGTGAGTTGGGTTTCAGTCTTTTTTCTGAGACTTTGTTAAGGGTGTGTCATCTGTCTGCATCCTTTATTTTGTATTTTTTTCCAAGGAATACAATAGTGTTAGTATTCACTTAATTTTTGAATATTAAACTGAATGGTTATTAAATTAACTATGCTTTTTTTTCTAACCAACTAGTTCTCTTCTGGAGTTTTCTATTTCTTAAGTACATTGTAAATGGGCTTGAATTTTAAATTAATTTTATATGCAGTTGACATAGATTCTATTAAGATATTCAAGTATATGGCAATACAATATTTGTTTCTTGAAGAAAAGTTTTAAAATTTTCCTGAAGAAATGAATTTGGAAATTGAAATGATCTTTTGGATAATTCCCACACAATCTTAAGTTGGGAATTGTGTTGTTTTTAATCATCTAATTATTTTCCTTAGAAATATTTCTCTTTCCTGTTACCATCTCAGTATGTTTGTATCCTTTTTTTTTTTTTTTTTTTAATTGGTACCAGGGATTGAACTCACAACTGCACAGGCAGACGCTTGTGCTGCTGAGCTAAATCCCCAGCCCAGTATGTTTGTATTCTTCAGTGGCTTCAGAAAGTATTTGGTTTATTGGAATAAAATTAGGACAGTAACCTTGTTAAGACAGCATGTTTGAGTTTATATAACTTTAATCTGTTTTTGCAAGGGATACTGAAGGTACTAATTTGTTTGTATTGCTTTTATAACTTCAGTTATTAGTTACTTAATGAATATAACAGTCTTGAAAATAATTATTTTAATATTCTTTATGTTTGATTGTACATGATAGGCACATGTGTTTCCAGTTCAGCCACCATTTGCAGAAGAGTCAGATGAATGCCTCCCGAAAGTTTTAAACAGTAATCCTCCCCTCATCATAAAGGTACCAGAGCTGTGCATGTTATACTTTACATAAACACCTCAGCTTACCTTACAGAATCGACTTCATATTTAGGAATTCATGTACATTTTTTGAGGACCTACAATATTCTGTATTGGTATTATAAAAATCACCCTGTGATTTTCTTTCCAAGTATGCAAGTACAAGATGTGCTCTGTGTGTGTAGTTTTTTTTGTTTTGTTTTGTTTTATTTGAAATAGGGTCTCACTGTATTGCCTGGACTGCTGTTGAACTCCTAATCTCCTAAGTAGTTGGGACTGTAGGTATGCAACACCATGCCCAGCTAAGCAAGCTAATTCTGTGTTCAGAAAAGTTACAAAAATACTTCCAACCATAAAATACAGTGCTGTCTAACTATAAGTATACCATTCAGGGTACCAAAGCAAAAATAGTTGATTTTTTAATCACTGGATCAAGGCATATGTCTATTCATGTTATGTTTTGGCTTTATGATCAAAAGTACTACCTGGAAGTATGTAGATATATAGTGAACTCTATGAATTACTGATAATGATCCTAAAACAAATCATAATCAAGAGTTTAAATAAGTTGCAGTAAGTTTACAAATCAGTCTAAGAATGTATTGTTTTGATTTGAATTTAACTTGAAATTTTAAAGGAGAGCTATTGTATGTCATCCTGTTAAAAGATCATAGTACTTTAAAAAAAAATGAAAAGAACATGGTTAGAACCCAAAATTTTGGTTATATTCTAAAGAAGTTATAAACAAATGAGCAAGTGAATTACTGAGGCTCTAATTCTTGTAAATGTCAGTTGTGACTGATTTGTTAGATAAACTTAGAAATACTAGTTTACTCATTTGATTACTATCAAATCTTTATTCAATGGGCAGGTTTCTGTCACTGCTAATTGTGTGGGGTGGAATGATCAGTAAGACATGGCACAGCCTATTGGAAAGACAGGCACACGCATAATTAAAACTTACTGCAGTTGGGGCTGGGGATTTAGCTCAGCAGCATAAGCACTTGCCTTGCAAGCAGGAGGTCGTGAGTTCGATCCCTGGTACCGATAAAAAGATTAAAAAAAGAAGAAGAAAGGTGCAAACTTACTGCAGTAAATAGGACAAATATAAGAAAGCTTCACAGAAGGATGGTATTTTGATGGATGAGTAAAGAGGTTACTAGAGTGAAAAGGCGAGGTTTTTCAGTGAAACGGGAATAGGTATGTGTCTCCTGAGTGTTAAACACTGCATTTGGATATTGTCTCTTTTCTTCTGGGTCTCACAGTTTGGTGGGTAGAACCAGATCAAAACGAGAAAACAGGCTTTGCAATACATTATGTTAAGAGCCACTGTTGGGAGCTGTGTGAGTCTGTGTTTGCATGAGGGAGGCCAGGCAAAGTTCTAGGAAGAAGTGATGTTCAGGTTTCCCACCTCAAAGGTAAGAAAGAACACAGAGTTCTGTAGTTCCCTGTGTGTAGCTGCCTGCTGTGGGTTGGGGTGGGCAGGAGATAGGAAAGTTCTAGAAGTCTAGGAAGAAAGCTTATGGTTTTTTTGTTTGTTTGTTTGTTTGTTTTTTAGCTTATGGTTTTGAAATACATCTTTCATGAAAAAGCCCATCTGATTTTCCTTTGATTATGTAATGATGAGTCCAATTCATAAATTAAAATTTTATTTAGAGATTTAAAAATTTAAATAATGTGTATATTTTTTTTTTTCCCTTTTAGTATTTAGCCTTGCAAGACCTGATGTTGCTTTCTCAGTATTCCTCTTCTCGAAGACAAGAAGTTTTTAGCCTTAGCCAACCAGGTATTGCTGAAACTAATAGACTTGCTTAGGCATGTGTGTGCTAAAGTGCCTTGGTCAGAGGGGTAGTTAATAACATAACACACATCAGAGAGTTCCTTAAATGAGTTATTGACTAAAATCATATACATCTTAAGTGTTTGCCTTGCTGTGGGTAGAATTTATGTTACTAGTCAAAGTACTTAATTTTAAATTTTTATTTCCTTTAGCTTCCTCAGTACCTTGACTTGAAGAAATTATGTAGCAGGTTAACAGTTTTAGAGCACAGCAGTACAGTTTAAGAATCGTAAAAAGTTTTAATGCTGTACTGAGTTTTAAAAATAAGATAGTCTGTCGGGGCGAGTGATGCATACCTATAATCCCAGCACTCATGAGACTGAGGCAGGAGGATTGCCAAGAGTTTGAAGGCCATCCTGGGCTGCATAATGAGTTCAAAGCCAGTCTGAACTACACAAGCAAGACCCTGTGCCAAAAAAATAAAAACACACAAACCAAAAAAGGAAGTCTAATCCCTAGATGGAAAACGTAAGTCTTACAGAAAGTAAGAGACTTAAATAAAGTTAATGTCAGAGTGAGACTAAGAATTTTGTTTTTTGACTCCCAAGTACAGAGCTTTCTGCTTCCCTTTCATTTTATTTTTATTTTTATTTTAGAGACAAAGTCTCACTGTGTAGCCCAGGTTGGTTTTAATTTCATAATTCTCCTTCCTCAGCCTCCCAAATTCTGAGATTAGAAGCAGGCACCACCAGATGTGAATTCTGTCATGCTTTAGAAGATAAATAGGAAGGAGCTGCATTCGGTAGTGACTCAAGGATATTCTTGGCACCTCTGCCACAGTCCTCCACTGCTACTTGCCAAGCTGTAAGAGACTGTGACATTGCCAGAGCTCTGTCTCATCCCTATAGAGGAAGCAGACCAGTTCAGGCTACCAGTGGAGAACAGAGAATCTGGGTAGCTTTTCATCTTCTTCCTAATTAACTCCTCATTGTTCTGCCAAAGTTGCCAATGCCTAGATCGTTAGAACAAATCAAAAACCCTGATACTATTTTTTTTTTTAAAACCCTGATACTATTAAGTATAGCATGGAAATGAAAACCAGTTGTGTAAAATATCATTGATATTATTGATATCACTCTCCAATCTTATATGAGAAATCAACTGTAACAATACTTTTCTATCACACTTGGGTTATGTAGGTTATCTATCTATAGTAATTTTCTACTGATTTAGGTAACTAACTTGTGGTTTATACTGTGCTTGTGAACTAACATTTTAAGGCACATTATTTTATTTTATTTTATTGGTACTGGGGATCGAACTCATGACCTTGCAATTGCCAGGCAGGTGCTTATGCCACTGAGCTAAATCCCCAGCCGGTAAGGCACATTATTATTATTATTTTTATTATTTTTTTTTGGTCTTTTTCTTTTTATCTGTACCAGGGATCGAACTCATGACCACACACTTGCAAGTAAGGTGCTTATGCCGCTGAGCTAAATCCCCAGCCCCTGGCACATTATTTTTTTAAAACAAATTTTTTGAAGACAAGGTCTTGCTGTGTACTGTAGGCTGTCCTTGGACTCACTGTGTAGCCCAGGCTGACATCATGGTAATCCTTTTGGTTCAGCCTCTGGTGCTGGGTTTGTAGCCATGTGCTGTCACACCTGGCACATTATAAATTTAATGAGAATGATACACAGTTCCTAGAGGTTGTGAGCAGTACACAGTGTCATAAAGCATAGTCAGATATGTGTGTGTATGTAGGTTAAGGGCTATTTTTCCTGATTCGTAGAAGGAGGAGATGTTTAAGGAAAATTCCAAATGAAGAGGGAGTGGTTGGCATACAAGGGGAAACCAGTTTCAGTAGCTTTCTGTTACTTTCAGTACATAGTGAAGCATGCCTGACTTTTCATGATTACTTATAGAGCCAGAGTCTTGGAAAATCAAACAGTAGCTCAGCATGCTGGGACATGTTTATGATCCCATTTACTCAGGAGGCTGAGGCAAGAAGATCATAAATTTGAGGCCAGCGTGGGCAACAGAGTAAGACTCTGTCTCAAAATGTAAAAAGGGCTAGAGATGTATCTCAGTGGTAGAATACTTGCCTATCATGTGTGAGGCTCTGGGTTCAATCTCCAGTACTGGTAGAAAAAAAGATTTTATTTGGGTTTTTTTTGGTTTTGTTTTTGGTATTGGGGATCAAACTCACGACTGTGTGCTTGCAAGGCAATGTGCTTATGCTGCTGAGCAAAATCCCCGGCCCAAAAAAAAGATTTTAAAGACAATAAGAGAATTTTTAAGAAGTGTGTATGGGGGCAATGATTAGCTTAGTTAAATAATAAGATATGTGAGCAGACATGTAAAGTCTCCCAAGTGTAAAGCATAATCATTATCAAACAGTGAGTCTGTCTGAGAGATGTAGTAGCAAATATTGACTAGGAGACACAATCATAACCCCCAGTTATATTTGAGTTATATTGTAAGACTTCCAGTGGATGTCTGAAACTGGGTAGTTCGAAGCTTTCAGTGTACTTTATTTTTCCCAGTACACACATACCTAAGACAAAGTTTATAAAGTTTAGTCATAGTAAAAAATTAACAATAAGAAAATAGAACAATTATAAGAATATGCTGACTTACAGTTGCTGCTATTGCTACTCTTGTGCCAGGCCTATTACTAAGTAAAGTAACACAAGCACAGGGACACCATGACAGTTGGTTTATAACAGAGAGGGCTGCTAAGTAATTGGCAGGTAGGTAGCGTGTATAGTGAGAATTCAGTGGAGGAAGATATGATTCCTGTTCCAGTGGTCAGCTGGCATGAGGTGGCGCTAGACTTCAACATGCTCCACAGAATGACCTGCAGTTTAAAAGTTAGGAGTTGAAGCTGGGCGTGCTGTTACATACCTTTAATCCCAGTATTCAGGCAGGAGGATCACTATGTGTTCGAGGTCAGCCTGGGCTATAAATCAAGTTCAAAACCAGCCTAAATTGCATGGTGAAATTCTGTCTCAAAAAGGCCAAAAAAATTTTAAAAATTAAAAGCTTGCAAATTGTTTATTTCTGAAATGTTCCGTTCGTAGTTTTCGACCATGGTTGAGCTCAGGTAACTGAAACTGTGGAGAACAAAACTGGATGAGGGACTACTATAAATGAAGGTAGAAAGAAGCAGGGAGAATCGGATATAGTAGAGGTCTCCAGGAACCATGAAGTGTGTCTCTTGGACATCCTAGATTTCATTGTCTTACTTCATTGTTCACAGTCTTAGCAGTCTTTTCAGTACTGCTGGTGAAGTAGCCATGGTGCTTCTCACCCCATGACCTGGTGTTTGGCTTTATTTTAGCAACTGAGTAGAGAAATTCTTAATGGTCAAATAGTAAGCTTTTGCTTATAGGCTTTTGGGAAAACTGATGCATCAAAAATTTATTCAACTACTGGGGATTAGGGCATAAGTATACAAGGAAGTTTAAGAAAAGTGGACCTGCGGGCTGGGGATATAGCTCAATGGGACAGCACTTCCCTGGCAAGCTTGAGGTCATCAGTTTGATTCCTGGTACCAAAAGAAAAAAAGAAAAGTGGGCCTAATGAAAGGTGTAAGTGGCATTTCTTTTTTTGTTTTTGTTTTTACATCTGATTTTATTGGTATATTTTAACTGTACATAATGATCACATTCATAATAGAGAATTTCTACCTATATATAACTTCATTTTTTCCCCATTCACCTACCCTCTTCAACCCCTCCTCCCTTCAATGTAGCATTTTTTATTGATTCCCTCTCCCACTTTGAGAGATAAATTTAAGATTATTTACATTTTAGGGGCTGGGGATTTAGCTCAGCGGCATAAGCGCCTGCCTTGCAAGCAGGCAGTCGTGAGTTGGATCCCTGTCACCGATAAAAAGGAAAAAGACAAAAAAAAAAAGAAGATTATTTACATTTTAAACACTGTTGATTGGCTCTTATAGGTGGTCACCCTCACAATTGGACAGCTATTTCAAGGGAGTGTTTGAGTCTTTTAAATGATATGACTCAGAGACTAGTTCTGTACCAAGAAACTGCTGCTGCGAATGGGAGAATGTCTTCCTCATACTCCATGGAACCTAAGAAATTGGATTCTCCAGGTAACGCCTCATGCTATGAAGAAAACTATACCAAGTATGATGACAAACACCTGTAATCTCAGCAAGTGGGAGGTTGTGGCAGGGGGATCACCATGAGGTCAAGGCCAGCGTGGACTATATAAGTAAGACTTTGCCTCAAACAGGGTGGGCAGGAGGGGAAGCATTTGTGTTTGTTTCCTAAGAAAGATGACATTAGTTAATTCAACCTTAAATGAATGTGAAGTGTGTATTTTTAGGGAAAGTTGCTCAAATGCGGGATATTTTATTGAACCAAGAAGACCTGGGTGTCAATGTAGATTGAAAAAAATAAGTCTAAAATATCAAGTCAGTATATATCAAAAATAGATACAAGTTTTTATTTACAAATTAAACTTTTAAAAGTAAAGTCCAGTGTGGCACTAGTTTTTAAAGCTAAAATGACAGTCATCAAATAAAAGGTATCAGTGCAAAGTCACATGAATCTTTATAGAAAATACTGGATGCTGTTCTGGTTACAGTATTCCAGAAACAGGGTTGCTGGTCCAGAGAAGAGCAGCTAAAATGATTTGAGGAATTTATATCATGCTCATTTCAAAACAGCACTCCTGTTTGTGAGGAGGTCAGAGGGGAGGAGCCTGGGCTGTTTCATCACATCCTGTGAGTACAGAATGCCCGTGGATGTGAGACTGGCCGGAACGCTCCACTGCAAAGCAGGCACTGAATGAGAGCAGGCAAGATTCAGGGTGAAGATGGAGGGAGGGAGCGTTGGACCACACGCCTCATCTGAGGAAAACTGGGTCTTTGCACTCCTTTGCTCTCTGGGAGAGATATGCACCCCATATCTGAGCTTTTTTATCCCCCCCCCCAAAAAAATCCTTGAAATCTAAAAAATTTTGGTCTTTTTAAATGTTGAGAATTGCTGTATTTTTTTGCTATTGGGAATCAAACTTAAAACCTCATGCCTGCCAAGCAGGTGCTGTGTGGTAATTACTTTTGATGTTCACAAATCACTGTATGGACCAACAAACCCATCTGTGTTTTTGAAGTTACTTCTTTAGACAGATCATGGCCTCCAAACAGATTACAGAGAAAAGCATTAGCTCATAAATGTCAAATTTTAAAAGATGGTAGTATCTGAAACACTCTACTATCTTTCAGATATGCACCAAATAATTACTGATCTCATTTCTTTGACAAACATTGTGGATTCTATATACCATGCAGTAGTATAGAGAAGCCAAAGGATCACAGATGAAAAATTACTCTTGGAACTGACCTTTTAGGAGAAGGCACATAAATAATGAGAAGACATAATGACTCTGTCCAGGAGTCTAAATTGGCAAGATGTTTGATAACAAATGAAGGCCTTGTATGCTACCGTAAAAACAAAACAAAACAAAACAAAAAAATCTTCAGAGGGTACATGGAGCCATTGGAGAACTGTGAATAATAAAGTTGGAGCAAGTGAGTGCATTAGAAAAATTATCCTAATCCTGGGCTTGGTAGGTCATGGCTCTGGCTAAATATGGGATATCTATTATTTAAATTATTACTTTCTGTCATTCAGCCAAGATTTGCCTGTAATTTTGAGAGATAATTGAAAAGCTCCAATCTTACTTTTTAAAGGAATTTTTCAAGGCGAGGGATATAGCACATTGGCATGGCGCCTGCCTGGCAAACGTGAGGTCCCGAGTTTGATTCTCAGTTCAAAAAAAAAGTGATTTTTCAAAGATTTCTAATTTGTGCTGAGCCTTCCAAAGTCAGGTGATAAAAATTTAGTACTTTGAGGGTTTAATGTTTCATAGCAGTTTTAACTAAGAAGATGGAAACTGAGACAGTTTGTTGTGTTTTGTGTGAAGCATCAGGAAAGTTCCTTTGTTTTTGTACAACAGACTAATTGATGTTCTAAGATGCTTTTTAAAGAAGCTTTCACAGGTCAGAATTATGGATGTCCTGGGCAGATTAAAAGAACTTGGGGAAAATGATAGCGCCTTTTCCCTGTTGATCTTCACAGTATATAGTATGCTGTGTTTGGCCAAGTGATAGTTGTAGGAACATGCAGTAAAACTGGAGCAATTCTAATGCGATAATTAAAGTTGTCATTTAAAAATAAATTGTGAATTGATGAGTAACTTAGAGAAATTGACTTTAAGATAAACAGATTCGTAGAGGGCAAGACAAACCAATGAAGCTACACCAATCGGACAGAAGACACAGGTAAAGCTCCTTAAGTGATCACTGAATTGGAAAAGTAAAATGTGGACCTTGGAAACACAAATCTAAATGGAAATAATCAACTGAGCGCTGAGTAAATGAGTTAAATACAAAAGTGAGGTAGAGCTTTCTTTCATAGCAGCCTGCTTGGGTCAAGTTGCTTCTTCAGTGCTGGCTCTGTTCTGTAACAGCAAAAACGCCCGATGCTGCCAGTCCTTTTGGAACCCCTTTTGGCTCCAGTGTGGTGAAGCGAGTGACTGGGATTTTTGATGGAAACACCTGCTATGGATTGCCACAGAGTCCTCAGCTGATGAGAAGAGGGCCAAGACTGTGGACTTCTGTTTCTGGTGAGGACTGTTTAATTTCTAAAATTGAAATCTTATGTTGCAGAGGATCAGACAACCTAGTCTTACCTCATTTCTCTGTTGTCTATTTAATAGGTCAGCAAATGTCAGAATTTTCTAATTCTTCTCCATACATCTCTTTTAATAATGCTGAGGGTAAGACAGTGAGGCAGCCCAGTGTGATTTATTCATGGATTCAAAATAAACGTGAACAGGTAGGATGATATATTTATGGGATTTGTATTTACATTATATTTACATGTGACATCGAGAGCATTAAAGGTCTCACATGAGTCAGTCATCAGAAGTCTTCTTATTGATGCTTTGTATATCCAGCTGGCCCATGTGAGATTGCCAGTTTGGATTTTGAGATTGACTGGTTTGGAGTTTTATGTGGTTTCACCTAATAGGGTATCTTTTCTCTCTGCAGTCTTTCATTTAAGAAATATTTGAGCTAGATATGGTGGCACACATCCATAATTTTATCACTTGAGAGGCTGAAGTAAGATGATTACCAGTTGGAGATCTGTTACATAGTGAGATCTGTTTCCAAAAAAATAAAAATTTCTTTACATGTACAGGGCTCTATTTTAGGTGGGGTGGGGCGGGGAACAGCAGTGGCAGTAAGACAAAACCTTTGCTTGTGTATTTATATCCTATTGGAGATGAGTAAGTAAATGTATTATATTGTACTACATTTCTTTGAAGTACAGAATACCATTAGTTGGATTAATATAAGAAATATTTCAGGTACTTTTTTCCCTTCAGCACTGGGAATTAAACCCAGGGCCTCATGTATGCTAGGCAGGTGCTCTCTGCTGCTTAGCTACATCTCCACCCTATATTAAGAAAAAATGTTGCCTTACACTATGACATACTATTAATTATAAGATGTATCCTGATAGGGTCATGTATAGATAGGAAAAATACACTTAAAAGGGAAGAAATTTGATGTCTTTTAGGGTGAATAGAAAAAGGATAGACAGGTAAAGGAAAGGAAAGGAAACAGTACCCAGGGGAAAGAGTAGCATTTATATGGACTGATCAGGGAGGTCTCATTGCAAAGGTGATGCTTGATCAGATTTCTGAAGAGAGAGTAAGGGGAAGCCTGTTGCAAAGATCCTGACATGGGAATGTGCGTATTTAAGGGACCAGTGCGACTGCAGAGGAATGAGAGGGGGAGGGCTGTAGGTCAGTGATGAGATCAGAGAGGTAGCAGACACTCAGAGCTCACTGGGCCATTGAAAGTTGTCAGGACTGGCCTTTTCTTTGCCATGGAAAACCACTATATAGTTTTCCACACAAGAATAAGTGTGGGCTCTCAGTCCTGGGCGAGAATGGAAGCAGAGACTGACCTAGTGAGGAAGAGTGGTGGGTGGTGATATCCTTGACCAGAGCGGGCGGGGAGGTCGTTGAGATCTGGATGTACATTTTCAGGTAATGTAACAGGGTTTCCTCATAATTTGCTTGGTATGTGAGAGAGTCAGTGTTGACTCTAAGGCTTTTGGGCTTAGGAGCAGCAGTAATTTGGTTGTAATTGACTGAGGCAACTTAACTGATGATTCTAGAGGAGGAGATTTTTGATACAGGTGAAGTGAGGAAGGGGAAATCAAGAGTTTGATTTTGAACATGACAGCTTTGAGAGTCTTGTTAGACAACTAAATGAAAACACTGACAAGATAGAAGAGATATGGTTAGGGAAAGTGCTGGGCTATAAAAATGTACATTTGGAAGTCATTAGAGAACAGTTGGCAGCTTTTAAAGCCATGAAACTCAATACAAACTCTTTTGAGTGTAGATGTAGAAGAAAAGAGGTCCTGGAACTGAGCTCTGCAGTGACTAAAGTTGTGGAAGAAGAGAAAGAATAGTAGAGGACACTGAGGAGTGGCCCTTCAGATGGCCAAGCACTGAGAAAAGAACATGTCTAGAAGGAGAGTATATCAGGTGCAGCCTCAGGAAGCGTGATGCTGAAGTGTGCAGGTCATTGAGTCCTTGAGTGAGCCGTTGGGTGTGGTGAGGCCGATGCAAGGTTGTTGGACATGGACTCAATGATTGGATACTGCCAGAAAAGCCAGATTTTTCAAGGAGTTTTGCTGCTAACAGTAATGGGACTGAGGGATTTGAAGGGTTAAGAAAGATGTGAATGGTTAGTTGTGTTTTTTAAGATGGGAGAAATTATAACATGTTTACTAGTTAGTATCCAGACAATAACCAGAGGCATTTTTTTAGACTTCAGAACCCATGTGATGCTGTATGTCATAAGTTCTGCCACATCAGTTTTTCTCTCAACTAGACACAGTTGTCTACTGCATCCCTCTAAAGCAGTCATGTGGCCTTTAGGAGAAAGTGTAAATAGAACTGGATTCACTCTCAAGTCATTTGGGTTTCCTGTTTCCTGGAAATATCAACTAATAGAAAAATACTTCATCTGTCCAGATTTTTTTTTTCTTTCCTATAGGGGAAACATAGAGTAAGTTTTTGATAGTAAGAGGTTAAAGGGAGCCGGGCACCATAAAGCCTGTAATTCTAGCTACTCAAGAGGCTGAAATAGGACTGCAAGTTTGGAGCCAGTCTGGGTATGTTAGTATAGATCTGTCTCAAACTAAGTGATAGTTTGTTTTTTTTTTTAAAAGAGTTAAGGATATAACTCAGTGGTAGAGCACCTGCCTAGCATGTATGAGGCCCTGGATTTAATTCCTAGTACTGCAGGGGAAAAATTTAGAGAGCAAGACTATTATAGAAAATTGAGAAAGAATATGGTCTTACCTAGTGTTCTTAAGGACATTTCAGAATCCTTCGATTATAGTAGAGATCTAATTGAGTGGTAAATCTGTATTTGTATTCAGGAACAGAGTACAGTGTAGGTTCGATGACTCATCTTACAGTACAAATGAATTTACTTATATAAGTTATTGTAAATATTATTCTTTCTCTGTAAGATGTGAGTTGCTTCCATATTTTCACATTTAAGAGAAGGAACCTGGAGGTGTGTAATAATGCTTGAATAGAATTAACAATGTAAACATGTTAATTTTTTGTTTGTTTTTTAACTCAGATTAAGAATTTCTTGTCAAAACGGGTGCTGATAATGTATTTTTTCAGTAAGGTAAGAATATGAAGTTAGAGCCTTGAGAATTAAGAGGGAAAGTGAAATAGAGGTGAAGTAGTAGAGAGGATCTGATTTGTGAATGTTTTAGATGTTAATCCCAGCAAACCCTGGATCTTTGCATAGCAGGTCACTAACCCTCTGTGGGCAGCCCTTGCCTCCCATCTCCCCATAGCAGCTGCTTCAGCTTGACTCTGAAGTTGGCCTCCTGAGACTTGTCTGCTGGCAACTTTGTGTTGATTTGCATCAGTTCCTTCTGGTGTGTGACCAGTCTCTTTCTGATGCTGCCTGGCTCATTTTCCTAATGTTTTTGTGACTAATTGCTGTTCAAAAAGAAGATGACTGAGTTAGATGACACATTAGATATGTGATGGATAGAAAGTTGTATTTCAGATCACAAACAAAAGGACTTTCTGTCTTGTCTAGCAGCACTTCCAGCTGCCAGAGGAGAGAATTTTAACTGTGGAAGCTAAAAAATGTTTTTTTCTGTTTTACTTGGCCATATCTATTGTGTGTTAATTCTTTGATGAAAAAATCTTTGCCCATGTGTATGGGAAAGAATTTTTATTCATAGTTTTTTTTTTTTTTTTTTGGTACCAGGGATCAAACTCCTTGTGCTTGCCACGGAGGTGCTTATGCCACTAAACCCCCAGCTTACTTTTAGTCTTTTATTTTTTTTTTTTAACTTTTTATCGGTTCCGGGGATCGAACTCACGACTGGCTGCTTGCAAGGCAGGTGCTTATACTGCTGAGCTAAATCCCCAGCCCCTACTTTTAGTCTTTTAAATCTAATTTCACTCTTTCTGTAGATGTTGTAGTATTAGCAGATGGGCTAATATTGTACATATTTGATTAATCCATTCACATGAAAGTTTACATTGATATTCATTTTTATTATTCAGAGTGATCCTGAATATGTGTTAAAGAAAAAAGAGATGTGTGTGTCCCTGATACAATATAGATACACGTGTTATTTCATGTTCTTTACAATTGAAGTGGAGCTCTACCCAACTAGTTACCTTTACCAAAAAGTAATCTGGCTTGGGCTGTCTATTATGGGAAGGTATCTTGTCCTTCACCAAGAGCATGAGGGTATCTGAAGTTTCACTTCAGTGCTCGGCTTCAGAAAGAGGAGAAGAAAACTTCACTTAGCATGTGAACCATGATGTTTCACTTAGTTTCTTTATTTAATTCTAATAACATTCTTGTGAGATGTACTTTTTGGTTCCCATTGTACAGATAAAGAAACCTGAGGCTCAGAGTCGATCAAGTAGCCTAAAACATATAGTCAGTTAAATTATATAGAGTACATGTTGACCAAAATCTTGTTTTCCTTTGGAAATGAATGACTGCTTTTGATTTTAATTTTGTGTGTTGATCTGTGGTATGATGAAGAGTTGTAGACATTGTAATATGATGTTGAAAAATATTTTTTATCAGCCAGTATTTACTAAATAGGTCAGTTGATACTCTATCCTACCTGAGCAATGTTTTTGGTTTGTTTTTTTTTTTTGTTTTGTTTTTTTTTTACCACACATCAAACTCAGGGCCTCACGCTTTCCAGGCTATCACCCTGGCCCTGAGCAGTGGTATATTAAAGAAGGTTGGGTAGGGTTTTTTTTTTTTTTTTTTTGGAGTGGCGTTGAGAATAGAAAATTTAAGATAAATAATATTGCCAGGTATTGTAGTGCATGCCTATAGTTCCAGCACTCAAGAAGCTGAGGCAATGTGATCACTACAATTCAAGGACAGTCAGGGCTACATAGTTCAAGGCAAGCTTGAAGGCAAGCTACATAGTGAGACCCTATCTTAAAAAAAAAAAAAAAGAAAGAAAGAAAAGAAAGAGCTGGGGATTTAGTTCAGCAGCATAAGCACCTGCCTGGCAAGTGCAAGGTCATAAATTCAATCCCCGGCACCAAGAAAAAGAGAGAAAGAGAGCTAATTTTTATTTACGTTGTCCCCTCATTGTAAAGTGAACTTTTTAGCCATTGTGTTACAGTTTTTCTGAGTGGGATTGAGCACATCTAATTTTACTCTAAATGAGAAACTAAAGCATGTACAGATTTAGAGACTTGGGCAGGGGTCACAGTAAGTTAATCACAGGATGCCTTACTGTGGTTTAGTCATATTGTGCAAGATTATATTTTAGATCTAAATTCTGAAGAGGCAGCTGTGATTTTTGTTGTTATAGTCTATACAGTTGATGCAGTGTTTGTTTTTGCACAGAGGAGCTAACTTAGTGTTTTTGTTTGTAGCACCCAGAAACCTCCATTCAGGCAGTTTTTTCAGATGCCCAAATGCATATTTGGGCATTAGAAGGTGAGTAATCTCTGAATAGTAACTATGACTTCAATAAGTTAAATTTTATCCTTTTGTTTCTGTACTTCAAAATATGCATTGTATATGAAAACTTAGTTGTTAAAGAGCTGTTTCTTTTTACCATTTCGATACTACTTCTCAATGCTTAAGTACCACTGGGAGAGAGTTTTCTGCCATCCTATGATGTGTCCTCCTAAGAGCTGTCCCTCTATTCTTTTTCTTTCTAGAATCCATTGTAAACTCAGCATTAAAGTTTTTTCCTTATTAGAATTAAGTTTTGTCATCTTCCACCTGTTTTATATTGTAATCTCCCCTCTTAAGAGTTCTTTTCATGTTTAGAAAATTGTTCTTGGATAGATGAATTGCAGATAGATTTGCCTGTTTTTCACTTTTAACTTTCTTCTTTTTTTCCCTTAGGTCTCTCTCATTTAGTAGCAGCATCATTTACAGAAGATAATTTTGGTGTTGTCCAGACTACATTACCAGCTATCCTTAACACTTTGTTGACACTGCAAGAAGTATGTAATTCTGTGTTGAACGTGGGTGTGATTATCCCCTAATCCCCAGGTTTTGTGTTTATTTCTTTTTTCCTTATTTTATTTTTTTATTTTGATTGATTGATTGAGATAGGATCTCATGATGTAATTCAGGCTTGCCTTGAATTCACTATGTAGACCACACTGACCTCAAATTTATGGTCATCCATCTGCCTCAACCTCCCAAGTGCTATAATTACATGCATGTATCACCATACCCAGTCCTGTTTATTTCTTATATATTCTGTTTATTGATTAGCTAAACATGTTTTAAGTTAAGATATCCATACTATTTTGACCTCAAGAAATCGTTAGAAAATCGAGAAAAGTTTTAATTTGTTTAGAAAAAGTATAGAAAAAGAAAGTATTTTAAACCCTGGTATTAAACAGATAAATTAGGATATTGGAAATTTGTTCAGTGACATTTGTCTCGATCCTTACACAATTTGTAGCGACTGAAAATAGTCTGTAGTTAAATCTTCCAGTGAGATAATCTGTCTCAGCCAGAGCTAAAGAGTTGAGGTCTGTAGGTGCTCTTTCTCTGGCTGAATCTTAGTTCTAATTACAGGTCTTTAATCCTGGACTCTCAAAAAGGCAAAAAAATAAAAACGCGTGCTTCCTGCTTTCTAGTAGGCGTCCTTTCCTAACTTCTTACTGGGCAATATAATTTACTCCACTTTAGAATATTAGTTGTATCATGTGAGAGGTGTGAACACTTACACTTGAAGCATTTAGACATAAAGGTTGAGGAGTGTGGTTTGCTTTCTGTAGGAGATGGTGTTGAATTGACCTGAAGAGTAACAATGAGAGTGTGTTTGGGTCTTGGGAAGCTATTAAAGATATGAAGAAAAACACACACTGTACTTCTTTTCTTCAAAACAGAGTTCCTTTTACCTCTAGAAAATCTTATTGAAACCAGTGATTTTTTTTTTTTCTGTTTTCCAGTATTATTTTTGCTCAATTTCACGTCATATATGTTACTTGAGACACATGTCCACAAGAGTAGTTTTATTTGTACTCTTTCCCAGCTATGTTTCTCCAAAGAAACAATGTCGAGTATTTCTCTTGATGTTTGGCAGGGCAGCCATAACGTGGGCACGACCTGGGTCTTTATAATGTGATCCTCATTACAGTCTTGTGGAGGTATTTTGGCATTGCTTTACTGGTGGAGAGTGTATAGCTCAGAGACTGATGTGTGTCTCATAGGTAGTAGACAGAATGCACCTGGTCTAATTGCGAGGCATTGATAGTGTAATAGACCTTTGGAGAAGCTGCACATCCAAGTTCCTTCAGCTTGTCTTCTATCTTATCTTGAGTTGTCCCTTACCCATCGCCACTCTGTGACATACATGCATAGGATTCTTTCTTGAGAAAGAACTATTTTACCTTGGAACTTTTTGGACCATGAACTGCAGTACAATTAAGATGAACTCAGAAAAAGGGGTGGAAGGCATAGGATGGAGGGAGGAAAAAGAAAGGAGAGAGGGAGGGAGAGAGAATATTCCCAGTACGGGGTGGGGGCAGTTTTGTTGAAACTTACTGAATTGATTTCACAAAGATCAAACTGCCTTAGAGGCATTCTTCACCAAAATCACTGTTTTTACCCTCCTGTCAAAATTCCTAGTTCTTCTAGCTGACCAGAAGAAAAGCAATCTATTTACTTGACTGTTTTCATTCATACCTTTGGGTAAGACTGCAAGAATTACGTATTTGTCAAAAAGTCAGGCCTCCCTTGACTTTAAGTTACATGATGATGCATGCCTGTAATTCTGGTACTCAGGGAGGCTGAGGTAGAAGAATTACAGGTTGTAATCCTGAGCAATTTGGCAATTTAATACGATCTGTCTCAAAATAAAAAAGACTGGATGTGTAGCTCAATGTAAAGGCTCTAGGTTTAATCCCCAATACCATTTTAAAGTTCAGGCCTTACTTATATTGAAACGGCAGTTACGATAGAGAATACTTTTGAAGAGCAGAGTAGCAAGTGGCAAAGAGGCCATTTTGGGGGGCTTGAAGGGGTCACAGGAACAAAGAAGCTAGAATTTAGCTTCTGAGTGTTAAAGTCCCTCCTTGCATACGACTTGTGGTGTCTGTTTTTCCTGTCCTGCATCATAGTTCCCCCTTTTTCATGCTTCACAGTCATATACTGACTGCCTCCAGGTCTTTCTTCCATCCCCACATCCTGAGGTTGATTGTAATGAGCAGTTCAGGATCCACTTGAACAATGTATCTCATACCTTCACTGTACATTTCTTTGACTTCTTGTCACTGTGTATTTGTATACCCTTTACCTACAACTATCACCTCTTTATCTGCGGAACAGTGTCTCTGAACCTTGCAATCCCAGGATTCTACCCTCTATAAACCAGAGTCCTTAAATGGTCTTCTAGTAAAGATCTGATAGTATGGTGAAGCCTGTGAACTCTTTCTCAGAATAATATTCTTAAATGACAGAAGTACATAGGATTAGAAAGAAAATCAATCATACTGAATTATAGTTATTAAGATGTTAAATTTTTATTTGGGTGTGGTGGTACACATCTATAATTCCAGCACTCCAGGAGGTTAGAACTACAAAATTGCAAGCTCAAGCTCAGCCCAGCTCATCCTTAACAGTTTAGTGACTTAGTGAGACTCTGTCTCAAAGTAAAAAATTTTCAAAGGGCTGGAGATACAGTTTATTGCAAAGGCCCTGAGTTCAGTCCCCAGTACCTCAATCAGTCAACCAATTTGTGTGTTTTTAAAGTATTGCATTAAATAGCAAGATCTGTCAGTCTACTAACTCATCATTTTGAATAGTGAAAAGATGAATGGTAATTCAAGGTAAGTACAACAATAAAGTGATACAAGAATATTGGTGATCTCTCTTGGTCATGATGGCAAATGAAACTGCTAATGCTTCCTGTTATGATTATTGCTTACATTCATGAATACAACATGCTGAATTTTAATTTAGAGCTTAATAAAAATAAACATGTAAGGTTTTTTGTTTGTTTGTTTGTTTTGGTACCAGGGATCAAACTCACAACCTTGTGCTTGCCAGGCAGGCACTTGTGCTGCTGAGCTAAACCACCAGTGTAATTTTTACTGTTCTGTATCCTGTTTCTTTGTCTTTCAACTCCTTGGCTAATATGTCTTTCCCTTGCAGAGTAGACCTTCTAATCTGTCATTTCAATAGCTTTGCTAATTCTGTTAATGCCCTGTCACAGTGGAGTACAGCTGTACTCATATGGCAAGACTCCCCCAGGATCCACCCTACCCAGGCCACTCTTTGTCCATCCTCCTACCCTAGCTTTATTTTTAGGCTGTTGGCATTCCTGTCCTGAGTTATTATTGTGACCTTTGCCTCACTGAACTAATGACCCTTCAAGCTCCGACTGCAGCCACTCTGCTGCCCTTCCTATGAGCCCTCAGCTCCAACCCCGCCTTGCACCACCTCCCACCACTCCCCAGTGGACCTTATTTTCTTAAGTGTAACTCTGACTCTGCATGATGCCTGTTCCTGGTCTCCATTCTAGAACATGCTTTGGTCTCTTACATGGTAGTGTGCTGTAGTTCCCTTCTGGACACTATATTGTCTTAACTGACTGTCACTGTCTTAAGTCAGAGCACATTTCTGTATCCCCAGCATCTGATAGAGTACCTAGCAAGTGACAGGTAGTTATCAAATGCTTGTTAGATGGCTTCACTGCTGGTTGAATGAGCAAACACTTATGTTCTGAGACCAGAATTGAGTGGCAGTTCTGATGCAGTGGTTTGATTATAATGATCCCAAACTGCTCTTTTATTCAGAGGCAGGATTGTGGTTGCGGTGTTATTTTTATGAGTCCTGTTATATGTTCTGGGTTTAAGTTCTTTGGTCTAAAGGAGATACTTATGTTTAGCAAAGAGAATAAATTCTAAGTGTCTCTGTAATTTAAGGCCAGCTGTACAATACCAGCCTTTGGTTGTTACTAAGGAACAGTTATATGGAAGCATTCTCTTCTTTTGTTTTACTTCTCAGTATCAGTAACATTGGCCATTTCCCTGTGAATCATTAAAGGCAAAATGTGAAAGGGACGGGGAGCCTTTCACTCTGCAGACCATGCAGAGCGGGGAGGGACGGGTATCTAGAGCAGCGGTTCCTTCCTGCCAGAGATCACAGCTCACATATTATCATCATTATGTTATAAACATGTATCTTGGATAGATTTGCAGCAGTTTCTCAGATTTTACCTGCTGTGTCTGGGTTAATTAAAATACAAATTCATGGGACTGACTTGATAGTAGTTATTTTCATATCAGTGGATGAAGAGCAAATACTATGCTGTGGAAACTCAACATTTTTTATGTTGTCCTTTACAAGTAACAGTTCGGGAACCAAAGTGACAAGAATACTTTTTTATTTAAAAATATTGTGGTGAAATATATGTAACAGAAAATATACTGGTTTATTCATGTAGGGTTTTTTTTTTTTTTCTGTCATTATTGGGGATTCAGCTCTGAAAGTACTGAACTATATCCCCAACTCTTTTTTTTATTTTTTAAGACAGGGTCTTGCTAAGTTCCCTGGGCCGCTCTCAAATTTGTGATGCTCCTGCTTCAGGCTCCCAGGGTGCTGGAATTGCAAGTGTGCGCTACTGTGCCCAGCCTGGTTTTTGAGAAGGCAGTATCACCCTGTTGTTATCACCTTGTAGCAGAGCAGCTCTGTCATATTCTTGCCCTTTTCATCTAAGGTCAGATTTTATCTACTTGGAGTATCAAAGTTTATGTTTGTGGCATTTAGAGATTTGTTCATGCATTAAGTATTATCAAGCAGTTAGTATGGGATAAGATACAAAATGGAAAAAGACATTGCTCACAGACTCATACTGAAAACTAAATTGTTCTAAGGCCACAAGGTATAGAAATGCAGCAGAATACACAACAGGTGAATCTAAGGTACTCTTTTAAAAAAAATTTTTTGTTTTTTGTCTTTTTCGTTTTTATCGGTACTAGGGATCGAACTCATGACTGCCTGCTTGCAAGGCAGGCGCTTATGCCGCTGAGCTAAATCCCCAGCCCCTTAAAATTTATTTTAAAGATAGTAAAATCCAACAAAACAAAACAAAGTCAGTCAAAACAAAGCAAAATTGGCACAGAACTTCAAAGCAAGATACTAGGAAAACAGCAATAGTGTCTTATCTTCACAATAGTAGACCATTCCATGAGGTATAGCAAAATCAAACCAAAAACAAAACAGAATAAAGCCCATCAAAACAGAATATTGAATATAGCAAAACAATCAGAACAGAGTAAAACAGTGAGAACAATACTGGATTTCAAAGACAACATACAAGGAAATCACCCTTATTTGCCATATTGCATACTGTCATCCTTCCAAGAGATGCTCAGACTGCTGACCCCAGGCCTGCATAATCAACTAGACAATACAAGCATTTAGTTGCTTTATGTACCTATCAACTCTGAACCCACCAGCTCCTTATGGGGTGGGGGTGGTGGTGGTGGTGGTGGTGTTGATTCTCGGCTCAGGCACCACTTTGCTCACTGGAGGCACTATTCTGACTTTTCTCTTCCTGGAACCCATGCAGCTTGTGCGGCTTACCAGAAAGAATGGCTAGTTGGCTTCCCTAAGGTGGTCTAGGTAGCAGGGCATAGAAAGAGAGGTATAAAGTCATTAATGATTTCCTTGAGGATATGGGGTTAGAAGGAAGAAAGGGGGGTGGAAAGGAATATTTTTGAGGGCCAGAACTTTGGGTTTGAAGTAGCATCTCTTCTTTGTCAAGAATTTTTTTTTGAGACTGAGTCTTGCTACGCAGTTCAGGCTGGCCCCTGAGTTCACTTTGTAGCCCAGGCAGGTCTTGAACTCTCAACAGTCCTCTTGCCTCAGCCACCCAAGTGCAGAGATTGATACAAGCATGTGCTACCACACCCGGTTTAGAATTTTTTTACTGTTTGCCCCAACATTTGTGTAGTGTTCCAAAAGAAGTGCTTTATAAAATTCTTGTGACAGCCCTGTGAGTTTGTACCAAGGCTTATTGTGCACAATCGAGTCTCAGAAAGACTGGGCCTATGGTATATTCATATCCCGTAAATGACTGAGTCAGAATGGGGAATGAAGCTTTTGGGCCTCAGGCCCTTAGCAGTCCACTGTATTAGACTACCTTTTGAGGCAGGGGAATGTACTTTTTCACTTCCTTTTTTTGTTTTTGGTACTGGGAATCGAACTTACAACCTGGTGCCTGCCAGGCAGGCACTTACGCAGCTGAGCTAAATCCCTAGCCCTTCACTTCCTTTCTTTCTTTATTTTATTTTAGTTTATTTTTATTTTGAAGGTAGTAGAAACACAACAGAACAAGACAGAACAGAGCCAGGTGAGACAATGTGGTAAAATTGGTACAGAACTTCATAGCAGGTTACCGGGATGACAGTAATAGGTATTATATATATATATATGATATCTCTTACTCTCATTATCTTCACCATAGTTGTCTAGCTAATTAGGTATAGTGAAATCAAACCAAAGATAGAACATATAAAACCAATCGAAAGAGAATATTGAATAGAGTAAAACAGTTAATCATAGTGAAACAAAACAGTGAAAACAACATTTGTTTTCAGACAGAAGATAGAAGAAGATCCCCCATATTTGCTATATTGCATACAGTTATCCTCCCAAGAGATGCTCAGACCTCTGTCCCCACTTGCTTACAGGAGGCGGGGTTGGGATGTTTGATTCCCAGCTCATGCACAGGTACAGGCTCACAGGGAACACAGACTGGGCTCCTCCTGGCTTGCGCCTGAGAGAGGCGCCCACCAAGAGGACAGGTAAATTGCTTTTTTGCGCAGCCGCCTGGGTTCCAGCATGGCCGTGGCCAGATCTCTGGGGCTGCTGGCTAGGTCTCTTCACTTCCTGTCTTAAGATGGAATGAATTTGTGGCAGAAATGCCAACAGGTGAGACCTGGAGTCAGGAATGACTTGTGTGAATTCCAATTCCTACTAATTGTTCAGTCTTAGAAAAGACATATACTGTATTTCTTTGGATCTAAGTCACCATTAATTAGAAGATGTATGTATCTTTATTTCAAAAACTAGAAAATGCAGACATGTGCATTATAAGACAGTAAATACAGTTATCTCTAAAGATAGTTTCTATAAGTCAGGGCTTTAGCTCAGTGGCATAAGTGCCTGCTTTGCAAAGTACATGATCATGAGTTCAATCCCTGGTACCAAAAAAAAAAAAAGATAGTTTCTGTATCTGAAGAATGGGACTGGTGATAATAGGTCCTACGTAATGGGGGTGTGAAGAAGGAATGAGATCATTCCTAAAGCACTGAGGATGCCTGGTCCATATTAAGTGTTCAGCAAATGTTAGCTCTTATTATTTTGTTTTCATTATTACTGTGTTGTATATAGAATTCTTTTTTTTTTTTTGTCTTTTTATCGGTACCAGGGATCGAACTCACGACTGCCTGCTTGCAAGGCAGGCGCTTATGCCGCTGAGCTACATCCCCAGCCCCTGTATATAGAATTCTTATACAGGAAAAAGGAGCATTATTTTAATCTTAAAACAATGAATTTAAAAAAGAATACATACATATATATATCTTGAAGTCCACCCAGTAGGCAAGCAGTGTAGGAGATACAGCTCTACACCCCTGAGTGACTGAGCAGAGTGATTTGTTTACTTTCTGAAATCATTGTCTTCATCTGTACAGTGGAAATACAAACTGAGTATCCTTTATCTGAAGTATTTGAGACTAAAAGTGTTTGCAATTTGGGGATTTTTTGGATTTAGGAGTATGTGCAGTGACTTTGAAGATTTCTAGTCCAAGATGGCTCCGAAATCCAAAACTTTGAGTGTAAGTTCTGGATTTCAGAGTGTTGTGGATTTCTAGTTATTTGTTGAATAAGGGATCTTCAACCCTGTAGTATTTTGTAGTTATCTCACGCTGATTATGTATTTCAGTTCTCCTAACCTTAGGGTATATTATTAAATGTTATAAACCATTGTTCCTAATTTATTCATGTACTACTTTCATAGATTTGATGATAGCTGTTTTTTACATACTTTTGACATGTTATGTTTTATTTCTCAGAAGTTTCATTTTACTCAGTATTTAAGCCCTTTTTGTTTTTTGGAAAATTTGCCATACTTTATGAATTTGTGTGTCATCCTTGCACAAGGGCCATGCTAATTTTCTCTGCATCACTCCAATTTTAGTATGTGTGCTGCTGAAGCAAGCCCTTGTTTTTGTTTTTAGGGTTTTTTTTTCCTGAGACAAGGTCTTGCAGTGTTGTAATTCAGGCTGTCCTTGAACTCACTATGTAACCCAGGCTGGCCTCGTGGCAGTTGTTCTGTCTCAGCCTCCTGAGTGCTGAGATCACAGGCAAGTGCCACATACCCAGCTAGAAATCATTTTGCTTTTCTTTTTATGGGCTTTTAATAATTTATTATTTTATTTCTTTTAATACAAATATTTTAGTATTTTAATACAAAAATTTTAAGTTTTATAATTTTTTAAAAGTTTTTTTTTCTTTTTTGTGATTTATTTTAAAGAGACTAAAACAAAACAGAACCAAGCAATTCAGAACAGAACAATGCAAGCAACAAAGGACTTCAAAACAAGACAATAGGAAATCAACAGTGGCTACCAGAATGTCTCTTGTTTTCTTCAAAGTAGACAAATCTTTTTGAGACAGGATCTTGCTATGTAGTTCAAGCTGGTCTTGAACTTACTGTGTAGCCTAGGCTAGACTCGAACGCACAGGAATCCTGCTGTCTCAGCCTCCCGAGGGCTGGTATTATAGGCATGTGCCTCTAAACCCTGTTCAGTAAGTCATTTTAAACACAAATTGGTTTGAAAAATATTCTGTTGCCATTGTAAAAGGAAAACTGGCTTGACTTGATGTAAATTGAATACAATTTGTAGTCTCTTATTTCGAACCCTGTCATTTCAGAATTCAGCTCTTTTGAATTAAAAAAATTGTGTGTGTGTGTGTAAGATACATTGTATATCACATTCCTCCTAATAGCTGGGGTACAATCCTCTGGTCAGATACATGGATGATTTTTCCCCACTGAGCAGCTATGCACATTAAGTGGATAAAACTAAATAGAACATGGCTGGGCAGGTTAGGTTTGACTGCCAGATGATTTCAGCCTACGTAACTTTTTGTTACCTAAGAAATTACAGAAGTTTATTTGATTTCATAAATTTTTGGATTTCACAATTGACGATGAAACAGTTAAAGTAGAAACATGAATAATTTTAAATTCTAGCTATGTGCTGTAGAGCCTGACGTAATGGTATATAACTGTAATCCCAGCACTGTAGGGAGATGGGGCACGAAAATCTCAAGTTCAAGCCTAGTCTGGGCAATTCAGAAATTTAGCAAGACCCTGTCTCAGAAGAGTAATAGGGCTGGGAATGTAACTCAGTGTAAAGGCCTTGAGGTTAGTTCCTAGTACAAAAGTAAAAAATCAAAGTAAAAGTAAAGCCAGGTAGGATCATGCATACCTATATTCCCAGCTACTTGGGAGGCTGAAGTGTGAGGATCACCAGTTCAAGGCCAGCCTACACAACATAGTGTGACCCTGTCTCAAAAGAAGAGAAATGTTAGAAGAACTGAGGCACTTGCCCAGCATGCCTAAGGCCCTGGGGTCAATCCCTAGCACCACAAAATAACACATAAATAAACAATAAAAGCGTAATACTGCATGAATTGTCAAGAAAAAGTCTAGGCACTCATCTTTGGGGTTTATTTTATTGTTTCTGCTTGGTTTTTAGCCTTAACTGAATATAGGTTTTTTTTGTTTTGTTTTGTTTTGTTTTGTCTTTCTCCTTTTTATTGGTACCAGGGATCGAACTCACGACTCCCTGCTTGCAAGGCAGGCGTTTATGCCGCTGAGCTAAATCCCCAGCCCTTAACTGAATATAGTTAATAATTCAGTTTTTAAAAAATGTTCTGTCCACAAATGGCAAAGAAAATAGCCAGGACAGTTATTTAGACAAGTTAGATAAGTACAGATAACATACTCTACACAGACTTTATAGAAGTATAATACAGTCCATCTGAATAGATTTGCATTATCTGGTGGTTATATTAATAATATATATGTAAAATTAATATTATTAATTTAACCCAGGATATCTAAAATGTTAACACATAAATATAATGAGATTATTTTATATTATTTTTCCCCACATGGCTTGGAAATCTGGTGTGTATTTTTTACATTACAGCATATCTGGATTCAGACCTGCCACATTTCCAGTGCTCAGTCATTATGTGTGGCTAGTAGTTACTGAATTGGACAGCATGGTACACCAGTGATGACGAGCCTTTTACAGGCTGAGTGCCCAAAGTGCAACCCAGGACCACTTATCACATAGTGCCAACACTGTACGTGACCTTGAATACTATTTAGTTCGTTCGTTTATTTTTTGATATAGGGAATTGAACTCAGGGCCTCAAGCTCATCAGGCATGAGGTTCTAGTCTAGAAAAAGCAACTCGATATCTTTTTGTCTTAAAAGAAAAAGAAAACATGCCATAGATTTGCCACTGTTGCTCTAGACTTTAATGATGATGGTAAAATTGATCACCTTAGATTTTCAGAATGAATCCAGTATCTGTTTTTGCTGAGAGTACACATGACAGAATTTCTTATTTATTATATTTGTGCACCAGAATTTTGTAAAGGGGTAAGTGATGGAGGTAGGAAACAGTATTGAAATGAAAAAGTCACTGGGTTGATCATTCGATTAATTAAATTTTTTTTTGTACTGGGGTTCGAACTCACGACTGTGCTTGCAAGGCAGGCGCTTATGCAGCTGAGCTAAATCTTCAGCCCCTAATTTTTTTTTTTTGAGAAACAGTGTCACTATGTAGCCCAGCCTAATTTTGAACTTACTGTGTAGCTCAGACTACTCTTGAACTTGTGATCCTCCTGCTTTAGTCTCCCAAGTGCTACGATTATAGGTGTGCACCATTCCTGGGTTTGAACTTGTAATTTTAAACCTAAGGATGCAAATATTTTGAAATTAGCATACAAAAAAATGGCTGTTCTCTCCTTAACAAAATTTGGGGGTATCCAAAGTTTTAAAAAATACTGCATTTTGAAGTATAATTGCAAATAACTTCAAGTACTGAGCTAGAAGCTATTAAAGATATTTCTTTAGTTTGAAATCAGTATTGATAAAATGGATGGGCAGCTACCGGAAGTTGTGTTCAGAGAGCATTACCTGTATCAAATGTGTATGTCTTCAAAACCTGGACAATACAGAATAGAAATTTGAGTTTGCTATGTTTATATTCTCATTTAATTAAATTTCTATAAGCTTACTTTACATTATCTTGTTGTTCTTCTGTAAATGCTTTGTAAATAACGTACATGTGTGTTATACAAAGGATCAAACTCAGCTAAAATAATTTTAGTCTATAAACATTTAAGAAGGTATATTGGAGCCAAGCATGGTGGAACATTCCTGTAACCTCAGCACTTTTGGAGGCTGAGGAAGGAGGATTGCAAATTCAAGCCCTACATGAGCAGCTTAGCAACTCAGCACGACCCTGTCTCAAAAAAATAAAAAAGGCTAGTGATGTGGCTTAGTGCAGATGAAGACTAGGTTCAATCCTCACTACCAAAAGGGGAAAAAAAGGTATATTAAGTTTAGGTTACAAATGATGACTTTTTCCTGACATGCTGAGAGTTAACCAGAAAGCATATAAGAAAATAACTTTTCTGTTATGATTCACAGTTATTTAATATTGCTTAAGTATTTTATTGTATACCAGCTCCCATATGGCCTAAAATTCTCTCAAGTATGTCCTCATACTTGGGAAACTCTCTTACAAGTAATTGTTATGAAAGAACAAATGGTTAGACTTGAAGTTAACATGGCATAATGAACACATGCATCAAATTTTGTTTTCTTCCCCAAAACTCTACTAAACTACAATAAAAAATCTATTAAAATACATAAATCCATAAATAGGAGAGGAACCGCATTTTCGAAGCTGGAGAGCAGATGGTTGAGATGACTCATTTAACAGATCCCAGAGGCAAATCCCAAGTTGGCAGTGGAAAAGCACTGGGTGCCTCTGGAACTCAGGGTGAAGGGTCAGGGACTAAAATAACATTTGGGTGTGAGGTTTGAAAGCAGGTCCCTAGATCCTCTGCTGCTCATTGCTCCTTCTCCATCCTGGCTTTATCTTCCTGCGGACTGGGTTGTGGGAGCTGTTCCACACCAGAAGGATGGGTTCACCCCTCCAGCAGGATTCTAGGAGGACTGGGAACTCTGACCAGTCAAGGAAAGACCTCAAGTGACCAAGTGAGTGAGTTCGCCCTGGACAGGCCATGCAGTTTACCTGTAGTGAAGCTGTAGTTAGTGATCCCCAGCCAGGCGCTCAGAGCTGTCAAGATCCTTCTCACAGTCAGGAACAGGATTGCAAATTTCTGAGGAAAAGCTTTAACACAGAAGGTAGAGACCAGAGGAAGCAAAGGGGAAACAAACAGCTTGAAAGAAACTGCAGAAAACAGAAAAGGCTATCAAAATGCAGATGCTAAAATAAAAACACTCAGATGACACAAAAGAGCTCTAGAAATTATAAACATCATGGCAGAAATAATTTTTAATTTTTTATTTTCAGTTCTGTGGTGCTTATATCCTTAAGCATAAACAATATGTTTGTACGTTTTTTTTTCTTGTCACTTTAGACATTATCTTGCCAAAGTAGACTAACACCTATACATACTTTACCTCTACTTCTCCCTTCTCTTAGTGTAGCTATTTCATTTAAAGATTAACCTTGCCTTTGGCCTTTAAAAGGTATTTTTGTTTATTTCTGCAATACCAATTATAAATAGAATCAATTTCACTTGTGAATTTTCACTCTGCCTTGTTTACTCTTGCTCACAGATGCCTAATTACGTAGAATTGGAAAGAAACATAACCTAGTTTACTAAATAACTTCATGTAAAGTTTATACTTTTTTTGCTGAGGCCCATAATAAAGACCTTGTTCTCTGTTACTCACATAAGAAGAGGAGGGTTCCAGTGTTTACTTCCCAACTTTGCATTTTCAGGCTGTTGGATTGCAGCTGCTGTTTAAGGCCCAGGTCTGCACTTGTGCTTGGTCCTGGTAACTGATAAATAGCTGAGCCGCTCTGATGTTTGGTTTTTAAACTGTTGAGTCTGATACACAGGGAGAGCATGTGTATGTATATGTGTATATCTGTCTGTGTTTATTTCAAATAAAATATTAGTTGTTGGGCCAAGTTGGCTTTCTTGATAATTTGAATTAATGTATTTTCCTTTTGTCCTGGTCTAGGCAGTTGACAAGTTCTTCAAGCTTCCTCATGCTTCCAGCAAACCACCTCGAATATCAGGAAGCCTTGTGGACACTTCTTATAAGACATTAAGGTTTGCATTCAGAGCATCACTGAAAACTGCCATCTATCGAATAACTACTACATTTGGCAAACACCTGAAGTAAGTTTAAGTGTTTTGATCTATAATAATAGATAATCCATGTTTAAGAAATTCCTCTGAGAAATAGAACTATTTAATACCCAAATGTTGAAAGTATTCTATCACCTTGATGATCCCACTGTGAGTTAACAGCTTGGATTTAGATTTAATATTTGTAGTTTAAAATGTTGTAATCTTTGGAGCGTTTTTTTCTCTTCTTTTTTTTGACCAGGGATAAAATTCATGACCTTGTGCCTGCCAGATAGGCGCTTACACTGCTGAGCTAAATTCCTGGCCTGAAGCGTTCTTTCAAATAGACAAAAGAAGATAAACTTTTTGTTTTTTGCTCTTTTCCTTTTTTTAAAGATAAAAAGTTACAAAAACAGCAAATATAATTACGTATATATTTTTATTAAATTATCAAAAGATCCATAAGAGACAAAGAAGGTAAAAAAGACCAAATATTTATCTAGAGAAGTGTATTAAAAATACTCATGCTATTAAATTTCAGTCAGGAAGCTGAGACTAGAGTGAGCACAGTGTTCAGGGTGTTCTGTGAATTCTGCTGGAAAAACAGGGAAGATCACAACACCCTCAGAAGTGGCCAGAGAAAAAAGCAAACTGATGTTCACCGCTTTGCTTTCATGAAATGAACTGGCTAGAAATGAACAGGATGAGGGATGGCAATTTATTACTACACCATGTTCATCAGAGCTGTAAGTGAGCTATGGAAGGCGGAGAGAGTGCTCTGCTTTCTTTGTTTGCAATCAGTAAGTAGTTTAGAACGTCTTCATATCACCTGCTTTTGGAAGTATATTTCTGTTTACTTTCCTACTACCTAGCAGTAGCAGTAGCAAGTACTTATTGGGCACTTTGGTTTTGTATGGGAATATATAGAAGACTAGATAATCCTCTGCCATTAAGACATTCAGAATATAGTCATTAATGAATTTAGACAATGAAATACACATGTTTCATATTGATGACACAGCAAACCAGGAAGAAAAAGGGGAAATAAGGATTTATTAGGATATAGATGACTGATTATAATTATGAGAATGAAATTATTGCTTGGTTTCTGTTCTTCAAGAAGAGGCATTTATAGCATTCAGGATTTTTTTTTTTTTTTTTTTAAACCAGGGATTGAACTCATGACTTTGCACTTGCCAGGCAGGCACTTATACCACTGAGCTAAATCCCTGGCCAAGAAGAGCCATTTTTATATATGTATTCAAACTGATGAGTAGTCTGTTTTGTACATTCTGTGGCATGCAGTGGATGATAGACTATTAGAAGTGGAGTTAGAACATTCTGGATTTGTCTGGTTACGTCACTGACTATCTGTGATGTGGGTGAGTTACTAAGTGAGTTTAAGTAACTCAAGCTAAGATTATGCAGGTAATAAATTGTAGAACCAGAATTCACCCCCAAATTTTTTTAACCTGGTGGTCTCATTTATAGTGTCTATACTCTTTCTTTGTTTTTGTTTTTTGGAGACACAGGGTCTCACTGTGCAGTTCAGACCGGCCGTGAACTCACTGTGTAGCAGAGGCCGGTGGCCTCGAACTTGCAGCAGTTCTCATACCTCAGCCTTATGAGCACTGAGGTTATAGGTGTGCACCACCATGTCTGGCTGCAGCGTCTGTCCTCTTAACTGTTACACTGTGTTATCTCCCTAGGGGCTTGCTGTGCAGTTAAGGCTGGCCTTGAACTCACTACGTAGCCCAGGCTGGCCTGAAACTTGCTGTAATCCTCCTACCCCGGCGTCCTTAGTGCTGACTCGTGAAGTAAATTCTTGAGCCCTAAAAATTATCCAAGACCACTTACTCCTTAGAGACATTAATTTACACTTGCTTGTTTTTTTTTTCTTTCCCATGGGAATTAAACATACCGAGTAAGCATTCTACCACTGAGCTCTGTATTTCCAACCCATTTTGCTTTGTTTTGTTTTTTTTTTTTTTTTTTTGTTTTAGACAGGATCTTGCTATGTAGTCCAGATTGGCTATATACTGGTGATCCTCTGGCCTTGGCCACCCAAGTGCTGAGATTATAAGAGGTACATCACCCTCCCTGGCCTCCTGGCCCTTTTTAAACTTTATTTTGACAAAATCTTATCCAAGGTACTAAGTTATCTAGGCTGCCCTAAAACTTGCATTCCTCCTACCTCAGCCTCTCAAATAACTGTAATTACACGCATGTGCCTCCATGTTTGGTTTTTTTCTTTTAAGTAATAAATTTTATTGGGTATATTTGAGGTGTATAACATGTCATAGTATACAGATAGATAATAAATTAGTTACTATAATGAACCAGAGTAACATTCTATCATCTCACATTGTTTTCTGTTTGACAAGAATAGCTAAACTATTTAATTAACAAAAAGTCTTATAATCTTATTACGGTCTTTATGTTGTACCTTAGATCATCTTACCTATTTGCTGTTTTGTATCTTTTGACCTATATCTTCCCACATCACCCATTATACTCTCTAAGTAAATTTTATTTACATCTAGCCTATGACAGTCAAAGTATATGGTAAGAACAGAGATTGATGTGGGTAAGGGTGGCTCACTGCCTGCTTTGCAGGGAGACTCGTGGGCAGCCACAAAGTGGTGTTGGGGTTTAGAGCTTGAATTAGAGACAGCAGCTTCAGTAGCACTTCCTAGAGAGCAGTGTTTAGCATGTGAGTCAAGAAAGTCATTACGTATGAAGGCATTTTCAGTGATATGTAGCCAAATGATTAATAGTATAATGGTAGTGATGTTACTCAAGAACTAGAGAACCAGAATCTTTGATGTAGTCACTTTTTATCCAAAGGTTTAAGAGAAAAGTTTTACACCACTTTCAGTGCCCTAATTTTGTCAAGGTGTAGTGTTTTTGTAATGATGAGAGTGGAGAGGAAATTCTCTCTCCATCTAAAACATAACTTATGTTCAAAGGGAAAAGTAAATCTAAACCACCAAGCTGTTACCTTTGAAAGCAATTAATGAAGTCTATTGTGTTTTAACCAAACATTTTAGTTTAAAGGATTTTATATTAAAGACAATTCAAATACTCCACAACTCAAAGATAATGTTGAAATCTGTTTTGAATAAAATAATAAAATCCAGAAAATCTACTGCAAGGCCTGGAACTCTGCACAGCAGGTTCCACAGCAGAGCAGGTTAAAATCGATGCCTTCCCTTGTCAGTCTCAATTTGCTTTGGTTTTAGAAGGTAGAAGCATGCTGCTACCCAGTGCAAGCCTCCTCTTCATTAGATTAAAAAGGTTTTCATCCAGCTCTTTCAAAAGTACTAAATAGATGAAGATTTCTATTCATTTTTAATTGTTTTGAAAAATATTGACTCTGTGCTCTGTGGTTCACTTAATATGCTTAATGTAAAATAAAGCTTATGCTTTGAATTTATGTTTCATTTAGTGCTGTGCAAGCATCTGCAGAACATCAGAAAAGACTTCAACAGTTCTTGGAGTTCAAAGAATAGTTCAGTAATATAAACTGTGTTCATTACACTGCTGATATAACTACAGACGGTACAGTAAATGTTCAGCATTCTTGGATCAGAAGAAAATGGACTAATTAGATGCTTCCTTTGTCGTGGTGGTTGCTTTGAAAACTATACTTTAATGGGAGAAATCATGGAAAGAAATTCTCAACAGAATAACCAAAAACTGCCTTTTCTGTACCGATCACTTTTTTTGTGTGTGTGGTATAATAAAATCTTTATTCATTTTACAAGAGCATTGATGGCAGTAGAAATGTCTCTAGCTCATATAGCTTAATAATAATAACACAAAATTTTGTAGAATTTACTTTTAAAAAGAGGGGAGCCACTTCAGAAATTAAAATAGATTGACTTAATCTGGACTTTCTAATCATTCTGAGACCAGCGCTCTGGAAACTTGAAATACATAAATTTTTAAAACACAGTTGATTTATTGAAAGATAAAAATGGTAATAATGGGAAAAAATTCACAGAAAAAATACTGTCTGAAGGACATGTTTTGTTAATCTGGTAGGTTGTGTTTTTGTTTTCGGGGATAAATTAAATTTGCATGATTGTCCCAAAAAAGTCTCAATTTACAGATGTTAACTCTATATAAAGGAATGCAGAAAAATTCATTTTTTTAAGTTAAAAGATTAAACATTCACATTTGGGTTTTGAGACACAATTAACCAACATGTATGGATTTATTTTCTATCATGCTAGTAAACAGTAAGTATATGGGTATTTTCTCAACTAGTTTTGCTTTCTTTTTCTGGAACAAAACATTAAGGGATTGTAGAGTTTTTCTGAGTGAGAGAAGAGGTTTTGCAAGAAAAACTGGGAAGTGTTTCCTTCTTTCTCCACTGTTTATCTTCATTAGATTACATCATTTTGTGCAGTTTGTCAGGCCTCACAAAGAGAGCAGCTTCTGCCGTGTTAACCAGCTAATTAAAATATAATAGGAAAATCTTTAAAGCCAGAAATAATTTAGTCATCAAATACCAAGTGGAACTGAAACGTGGTTTACTGTCCTGGGGAGTGTGTGTGTGTGTGTGTATCCCAAATGTGAGCAGGTAAGGTCATTTGTTAACTTGGTAGATAAGACTTCTTCAGGTCCTGGTGGTCAGTATTCATTGGAATAGCTTTGGACTAAAATGGTCCTTCATAATTCTTTTCCTAGTGTCTTTTCCCTTCAGTGTCCCCCAATTTTTCCTTTGACATGAGCACAGTATTGTATATAGAGCTTTAATGTGGTGTATGTGTCTACCATTTGTCTGCTCAATTGATGTATTATTTATTTACAATAGACTATTATATTTTAGCCCCAGGGCTTATTGCCCCTTCAACCAGCACATGCCAAATTATAAACGAATCCCGCTGGCCTTCTTGAGACAGTGTCTTCATGAGACAGTTTCCCAGTTGTCAAGTGTTTTGGTATTTAAGCTGTTGCTACTTGCCTCCCCCTCATTCCTTTGTGTCTGAACAACTGCTCTCTCTAGTGCTTACACATTCTCTCTCTCCTTCTTTCTCTGTCTCTCTCATATGCAAGTACTCTGTCACTGAGCTACAGCTCTTTTTTTATTGACCAGTTTTTTGTTTGTTTGTTTGTTTGTTTTGTTTTTTCTTGTACTGGGAATCAAACTCGACCTCGTACTTGCCAGGCAGGCACTTATACTGCTGAGCAAAATCCCCAGCCTCCCACCTCTTTTTTATTTTTTATTTTTTGAGATAGGATATCATTAAGTTGTTCAGGCTAACCTCAAACTTGTAATCTTCCTCAGCCTCCCGAGTAGCAGGGATGACAGGTGTGTGAAATTGAATTTCAAACATATTTTCTTACAGATGACCAGAAAATTGTGTTTAGGTTAACTTAGAAGTCTGTATTCCATATATTAAAGCCATAAGCTTTTTATATTCTCTAGCTGAAGCATTTTGGAAGACAAGGTTTTTCATTAAAAAAGAATTGTGCTGTTCAGCCATTGGGTCCCTGAGACTGAAGATAGAATGATTCCTGTAAATTTTGACCTGTTTGTATGAAATGTCTGGTTAGATTTAGGTTCTTTCAGTTTCCTATATACTTTGAACAGTAGTATATTCAATGAGTATGTGCAAATTTCTGAGATATTTATTGATGTTTTCTCTTGTGCTGTGTGCAAAATACAGGCCACATGATACCTGCCTGTTGAATACTTGGAAACTCCTCACAAATCAGTATTGTGCATAGCAAGCAAGGAGGGTGTTTCTTTCCCGGCTGTGAAGGTGCCACTATTGTGTCAGGATGTTATTAAAAGGAACACCACCTGTGTACATGGAGGACCTAAGGGAGACGAGGAGAGACATGTTTCATGATGAAGTCACACTCTGCCTGTGAGTTCTGATGCTGTGACACCAACCTGAGAATAATACAAAACATGGTGGTATCAGCTCTTGTAATGTCTGCTTGACCTTCATTGAAGGCATAAAGTTTCAGAACTTCTTTCCCAAAGAACTGCAAAATTGCCCTGGAACAAACCTTGCACAGTTTTGCAGTCATAAATTGCAGTGGGCATAGATGGACTACAGTTTATTCCTTTGTTGGATTTCTTTCTTGGTAATTGTTTTCTGTGCCTTCCTATAAATATTTATGACACTTTATGTCCTTTTGTATGTCACTGATGCTGAGCTGGGTTAAAAAAAAATAAATTGATAATTTAAAAAAATGAAACAATGAACTAAAATGTGTGTGTCTACAAGTACAGTTATTAATTTTGTATATGTGTGTTTCCTTAAACCATTGGAATTTAGTCTTGAGTTGTTGCTTATAAAACCTAAAAAGGTTTAACTCTTGAGTAGTCAGCTTTTGCCCTTGGCCAGGCTATTCGCTGAGTGATCTGTATTTAGTAGTAACCCCAAAGGTTATTCTTTGGCTCATTCTTTGTTTTTGGTTATTCTTATGTCTTGGCTGTCTTTCTCCCAAAGCTAAAATAAAAGGTCTGGGTGCTGAAAGCTGTCCTTTAACAGAAGTTTCTTTTCTTGCCAAAAAGTAGATTATATTCTCCTAGACTAACAGTTAGTTATGTCTGTCAGCTTTTCCCTCTGGGTAGTAGAAGTACTAAGGCCTTCTGCTCCCTCCGTTACTCTCCAGTCCATAGTTATCTTTTTTTTTTTTTTTTTTACACCCGAATGATTTAAAAACACAGATGGCTTTCATTTACTAGGTAACAGTCTGACTATTCTTAGCAAGTTGACCTCCATTTTCAAAGAAGCAAACTGTTTACGGTGTCAGGCAGAAAGGGGATAGACACGTACCTCCCTATTCATTCATGTTCCTAAGCAGCCTTGGCAGTTGCTGTAGCGATGATATACAAGTTGATGTGGAGCTAGGTAATAAAACATTTACCGAGTGTCTGTTACAGCATATATTGGAGAACACTAAGCAGTACAGTCACTTGCTCTCATTAGGGGCGTTTGGAGTGTGGTGCTGCCAGTTTCTGTGTGGCACGGTCACATGGATTAGTTCTTCAGTGTGCAGAGTCTGGGCTTTAGGTGTGAGCTGGTTCTGAGGAGATACAGTTTTTGGTAGAGTCTGAGCAAGTGGTCTGAAAATCACATGGCAGGAAGGATTTATCCTAGAGCAGAAGTTCTCAGTCTTTACTACACATTAGAGTCACCTGGTGAGACACAGATGGCTGGCTCACGTCCATGTGACTGATCAGTAAGTGGGGTGGGGCCAGCTTTGCGTTGAGAGCCAGTTGTCATTTTTTGTCATGATATTCTCTCATGAGTGTCTGAAGATTAAGTGCTATAAAATAGAGTTTTCTCAATCTGATCTGTTGAGCTTGAATACAGCTATATACTAAAGGTAATGAGGGGACGTGGACAAACATGCAGATATTCACATACCTTGAATGCCAGCAGTTAGTAAGATATACATTACTTTTTTCGTACCATTATGTTCCCTTTACCAGGGTTTTTTTTGGTGAACTTCATTCTTTTTTTTTTTTTCGTCTTTTTCCTTTTTATCAGTACCAGGGATTGAATTCATGACTGCCTACTTGCAAGGCAGGCACTTATGCCACTGAGCTAAATCCCCAGTCCCTGAACTTCATTCTTTAGAATGAACTTAACCTTCTTCCCTGTTCCTGGATAGATTTCAATATGTGGTTTTTCAGTGGTTTCTTATCACATTGAGTTAAACTGACTATATACCTCCTTCCCCTTATAGATTGTGGTCATTCTCTCCAGGGTTTGAGTCACATCTTTCTTTTCTTTGTTTTTGAGACTCTCTAGGACCAGACTGGCCTTGAATTCATTATGTAGTCCAGGCTGGCCTCATACATGTGGCAATCCTGTCTCAGCTTCACCAATGCGGAGATTAGAGGGTGTGCGCCACCATGCCTGGCTTTCAGTAGTAATCTTTAGCAAACCTTTATATGTAATCCTGAAGTTGAGAGAGTTGTTCATTGATAAGACTGATGAGAAAATGTATTTGCAGCAAAACCTGACCTAAACTGATGTGACTGATTATATTTTAGAGTATCTTGATTATAAGTTGCTGTTCCAGACTATAGTGTGATGTTACAGAAGAGTATTTCCTTTTTAAAATCTGAATCACCTGACTTACAATTTTAAAACAAGAATTTTTTTTCTTCCTTTTTTGAGATGAAGTCTCACTGTGCAATTTAGGCTCACTTTGTAGCTCAGGCTGGTCTTGAACTCACAGTGTTCCTCCTGCCTCAGCCTCCTGAGTGCTGGAGTTACAGGGATGTGCTATGCACCTGGCTGACGAGGAGGAATTGTTTTTATAAAACTTTTCCGTTCACTCATTTGACACTCACTTTTAGCCGGCTGCACACCAGGCCCTGTGTGGTAGAGTTGCAGCCTTTGTGCTGAGTTCATCTTGTGTGAGACAAGTAAGTGGAAGCAGTTTTTCCTTGCAAAGAACCCTTTCCGTGCTTGTTTACAAAGTTGCTGTCTTTTTATATTGCTGTCTGCATTGTTGCCTAAGCAGCTACTCCACTCCTAGCCTGCTCTCATAGTTGTTGGTCACATTTGTGTACCCCTCCTTGTCACTAAATATAGTATGTGCTTTGGGATGTGCTGGTGCTAGCCCACTTTGTCACCTTGCCTTATTTTGCAGTGCTGTGTGGTTTCTTGTTGCTCCAAGGGCTCATTTTCTCCCTCTACAGGTGTATTTTTCCAGATACTATTGACCATGCCTTGCAGATAACCCGGAAATCCAATGGACTGTCACTGTAGAGAAACAATGAAAGA